CTGTACTATACCGATTACGGTAATATTACGTTGCGTGTGACACTTTATTAGTATCCAATAAAGGTGTAAGAGCTAAAGGTACAGCACATTCACACTGAACTATTCAAACTATCTTTCATAACAGGTTATTTACATAAATGCATGCAATTTTAATACAGCGAATATGATATTTTGAAATCTTACCTTACATAGTTTTCAAAACCAATGACCAATCATTAACTCTTTTCATTCTTGTACATCAGTGCTTTCTAAGCTTATTGCGCATGTTAATTTAAAAATTAACTGTTTTTTTTTTTTTTATAATTCTTGAACAAATTCTCTGCATATAGAGCATGTTAAGTTTCACTTCATATATGCTTTTTGTTAAATTCAGACATGTCCATTATGCTAAAATAGGAATGAGATAAATTTATCATCTTTGTAAAACTTCCTCAAAATAAACTTGAAGGAAGCTTTCTGCATGAATGTTTTGTATTTGTTCCACATTTTAGCATCATGTATCATGTTAATTTAAAATGTGACGTTGATTACAGTGACTTAGTCTGGCTTGAATTGTCTATTGTGTATAATTAAAGCGGCAATAGCTAATAGTCATTTTAAACTATATAGATAGATGGCATCTTCTGGAGACTTGGATGCAACCCCACAGCCATCTTTTTTAACTTCCATGCGATTTAATGTATGACATTGAAATATAATGTATATGCTATGCATTCAGTGTCCACATTTTGGCAATGGCCTTTACAAATTGACACTCATAACACAGGAAATGATTTATTAAAAAACAAAAATCAAAGAAAAAAGGACGATAGTTTATTGCCGCTTTAATGTTCACATTAAAGCGCGGTGGTCGTCGTGTTCGAATTTCATGTAAATAAACAATATATTTTACATGCGTTGTATACGTCGCTATGAGTCCCATATCGAACAGGACGCTACGCGACGACTGTCGCCCTTTAAACAATTAATTTTGCTAGATATTATCAAGTGTTAACTGTACAAAGAATTGAAATGCATACATTTAATTACACTCATTTTAAAGTGGTATTGAATTAGAGGTTTGGATTCTCATTCCAATCTGAGCATTTACTTTCAATTTAAAAATAACCCTTTGCTCATTTATATTAGTATTATAGTTTTAACATGTCAAAGTCAGTTTCTTTTCATTTACACACCAATTTAGTTGAAACCAAATTTACTTTCAAATTTTTCTTTCATTTACGTTACAATATTTACCTGAGTTTGAAAGACCACCAAATAGACTGCCATAATCTTTCAATAACTATCTGTAATATTTCAATTAAAACAATTCTGTTTTTATTCTCATCATCAATATGCTTCCTGAACCAACTCACATTCTGTTCTTTTGCATGTGTGGTCCTTAATTGTGACGTAAACCTTTTCAGGATGGGCATTTTACTAGTTTTTAGTCATGCATGATTGTATATTTTTGGGATGATCCAATAGCACTATCTGGATGGTACTGTGTTGTTAATAGGACTCAACACCTGTTTGTTTTAATGCACTATTTTGTGGTGTCTCATACATAGTAGGTTAAATGTATGGAAACAATAATATCATCCCAACTACAAGTTCATTAGTGTTTATCTGACATGTCTTGTGTTCTGTTAAAGCCTGTTTGGAGGTAACATCTGTTTGTGAATTTGCCTGTCTGTAAAGGTGATTGTAGAATTTTAGAATTGCATTGAATGCTGCATTTACATAGTATTCTGCTTTAAGACCCTATCAGGTCACTCAGTTTTATTCAGCACGTATCTTTCTACATTTTTAGCTAAATAACATATCTTTATTAAAAAATTAATTGCTTGGTGAACATTTGTGAGAAATGCTCGGTCGGGTTTCAAGGTGAGCTTCCTTTCTGTGTGGTTACATTGCAGATGGATTTTATAATAATGTGCAGGGTTACTCTAAAACAGCTATCATGTACCCATGTGATCAGGAGCTATGGTTTCCCAGTGTCCTTCATTTGGTGATTGAATGCTTGCATTGATACGTAATAATATTCCTTTGTCATGTTTTGCTTGGAATAATAAAATTAAACAATTATTACTATTTTAATTAAGGATATTGGAAAGCATATTGAATTGTCAAGTACATGTATGCCTATTGGTTAAAACATGTGGCATATTTTGATGCTCCCACATGTAGTACAACTGTAATGATATGAAAGTAACGATGCATGAAATCATTTTTAAATTTGGTGACTAGCCGTTCATAGTGTTTTAATGTTCACAATTGAATGCGATTGCAAAGTGTGTATCTGTATTATCAGTGTATTTTAGTATATTGTATGTAGTCACACAAACTCTGCTTTAAATACTTGTGTAAACTTTTCACAGATTCTTGTACTTTATTTTGTGATGTGTAACCTTTGACCTTAAAAGGGGACATACCAAATTCACTGAATTTTCAAGAGAACTTTTCACTGTCTTCTTAAATTTATTTAAACTGATAAAAAAAAAATTGTCAACTACTTAGAATTACAATGTTGAGTCTAAATTTGGGGAGAGGCATCCGAAGCTCCACTTATCTCAATGGTTCGCTTTTTAAATCATACACTATGTATTGTAAAATATAAAAAAAAATGCATGTTTATTAATATTCCACACAACAGCTAACTTACTAAGTAAACTGTAAACACATTTAAATATATATTTGCCAAGACTTTAAATGGCTAGTAAAAATGAAATTAAATAGTATTGACAAATAATTATACTTATAATTGAATAAGTGATGGTGGCATTTTGTCTACACGTCTTGCCTGTTGGCTACTTAAATATCCGTCTTTGCTTCTCTTTGCTAAAACCACATGGCTGATTCTATCCAATTACTATGATACTGACTAAAGCCATGTCAAATTTCTCTTGAGGCTTTGTCATTGCCTCTTAATATCTTTTCCAAGGCATGATATTGTGTATCACTATTATGGCATATTCCATAAAAGTAATAATATATATTCTCAATAAATATTATTTTATCCACCAGTTTGTTTATGGTATTATGTACTATATTACCTAACTATGAATGGCCTGGTGTGTGTTTATCAATAATTTGAATTGTGAATGTTGTGGTAAAGGTTGCCTTGTACATGTATAGAGGTGATATTATGGGCTCACTAGTATTTGCACTTTGTGTGTTATTTGCATTTGCATTTGCACTTTGTGTGGTAGTTGAATGTGTAAAACTGCAGATTGCT